GACACTAAGAAAGTGGATCAGTCCAGTTCTGAAGTCTTTACACTGGTTCCTCACTGACACTAAGAAAGTGGATCACATCAGTCCGGTTCTGAAGTCTTTACACTGGTTCCTCACTGACACTAAGAAAGTGGATCACATCAGTCCGGTTTCTAAAGTCTTTACACTGGTTCCTCACTGACACTAAGAAAGTGGATCACATCAGTCCTGTTCTGAAGTCTTTACACTGGTTCCTCACTGACACTAAGAAAGTGGATCACATCAGTCCGGTTCTGAAGTCTTTACGCTGGTTCCTCACTGACACTAAGAAAGTGGATCAGTCCTGTTCTGAAGTCTTTACGCTGGTTCCTCACTGACACTAAGAAAGTGGATCAGTCCGGTTCTGAAGTCTTTACGCTGGTTCCTCACTGACACTAAGAAAGTGGATCACATCAGTCCGGTTCTGAAGTCTTTACACTGGTTCCTCACTGACACTAAGAAAGTGGATCAGTCCAGTTCTGAAGTCTTTACACTGGTTCCTCACTAACACTAAGAAAGTGGATCACATCAGTCCGGTTCTGAAGTCTTTACACTGGTTCCTCACTGACACTAAGAAAGTGGATCACATCAGTCCGGTTCTGAAGTCTTTACACTGGTTCCTCACTGACACTAAGAAAGTGGATCACATCAGTCCGGTTCTGAAGTCTTTACACTGGTTCCTCACTGACACTAAGAAAGTGGATCACATCACTCCTGTTCTGAAGTCTTTACGCTGGTTCCTCACTGACACTAAGAAAGTGGATCAGTCCAGTTCTGAAGTCTTTACACTGGTTCCTCACTGACACTAAGAAAGTGGATCACATCAGTCCGGTTCTGAAGTCTTTACACTGGTCTCACTGACACTAGAAAGTGGATCACATCAGTCCGTCTGAAGTTTACACTGGTTCCTCACTGACACTAAGAAAGTGGATCAGTCCAGTTCTGAAGTCTTTACACTGGTTACTCACTAACATTAAGAAAGTGGATCAGTCCGGTTCTGAAGTCTTTACACTGGTTCCTCACTGACACTAAGAAAGTGGATCACATCACTTCTGTTCTGAAGTCTTTACACTGGTTCCTCACTAACACTAAGAAAGTGGATCACTCCTGTTCTGAAGTCTTTACACTGGTTCCTCACTAACACTAAGAAAGTGGATCAGTCCGGTTCTGAAGTCTTTACACTGGTTCCTCACTGACACTAAGAAAGTGGATCAGTCCAGTTCTGAAGTCTTTACACTGGTTCCTCACTGACACTAAGAAAGTGGATCAGTCCGGTTCTGAAGTCTTTACACTGGTTCCTCACTAACACTAAGAAAGTGGATCAGTCCAGTTCTGAAGTCTTTACACTGGTTCCTCACTAACACTAAGAAAGTGGATCAGTCCAGTTCTGAAGTCTTTACACTGGTTCCTCACTAACACTAAGAAAGTGGATCAGTCCTGTTCTGAAGTCTTTACACTGGTTCCTCACTGACACTAAGAAAGTGGATCAGTCCTGTTCTGAAGTCTTTACACTGGTTCCTCACTAACACTAAGAAAGTGGATCAGTCCAGTTCTGAAGTCTTTACACTGGTTCCTCACTAACACTAAGAAAGTGGATCAGTCCGGTTCTGAAGTCTTTACACTGGTTCCTCACTAACACTAAGAAAGTGGATCAGTCCTGTTCTGAAGTCTTTACACTGGTTCCTCACTAACACTAAGAAAGTGGATCAGTCCGGTTCTGAAGTCTTTACACTGGTTCCTCACTGACACTAAGAAAGTGGATCAGTCCTGTTCTGAAGTCTTTACACTGGTTCCTCACTGACACTAAGAAAGTGGATCAGTCCGGTTCTGAAGTCTTTACACTGGTTCCTCACTAACACTAAGAAAGTGGATCAGTCCTGTTCTGAAGTCTTTACACTGGTTCCTCACTAACACTAAGAAAGTGGATCAGTCCTGTTCTGAGTCTTTACACTGGTTCCTCAACTGACACTAAGAAAGTGATCAGTCCGGTTCTGAAGTCTTTACACTGGTTCCTCACTAACACTAAGAAAGTGGATCAGTCCTGTTCTAAGTCTTTACACTGGTTCCTCACTAACACTAAGAAAGTGGATCAGTCCGGTTCTGAAGTTCTTTACACTGGTTCCTCACTAACACTAAGAAAGTGGATTCAGTCCTGTTCTGAAGTCTTTACACTGGTTCCTCACTAACACTAAGAAAGTGGATCAGTCCGGTTCTGAAGTCTTTACACTGGTTCCTCACTGACACTAAGAAAGTGGATCAGTCCAGTTCTGAAGTCTTTACACTGGTTCCTCACTGACACTAAGAAAGTGGATCACATCAGTCCAGATCTGAAGTCTTTACACTGGTTCCTCACTGACACTAAGAAAGTGGATCACTCCTGTTCTGAAGTCTTTACACTGGTTCCTCACTAACACTAAGAAAGTGGATCACTCCTGTTCTGAAGTCTTTACACTGGGTTCCTCACTGGACACTAAGAAAGTGGATCAGTCCAGTTCTGAAGTCTTGTACACTGGTTCTCCTCACTGACACTAAGAAAGTGGATCAGTCCGGTTCTGAAGTCTTTACACTGGTTCCTCACTGACACTAAGAAAGTGGATCAGTCCGGTTCTGAAGTCTTTACACTGGTTCCTCACTGACACTAAGAAAGTGGATCAGTCCAGTTCTGAAGTCTTTACACTGGTTCCTTCACTGACACTAAGAAAGTGGATCACATCACTTTCTGTTCTGAAGTCTTTACACTGGTTTCCTCACTAACACTAAGAAAGTGGATCAGTCCGGTTCTGAAGTCTTTACACTGGTTCCTCACTGACACTAAGAAAGTGGATCAGTTCCAGTTCTGAAGTCTTTACCACTGGTTCCTCACTGACACTCAGAAGTGGATCAGTCCGGTTCTGAAGTCTTTTTACCACCTGCCTTTCCTCACTTACACTAAGAAAGTGGATCACGTCACTCTGTTCTGAGAAGTCTTTACACTGGTTCCCTCACTGACACTAAGAAGTTGAGAATCATAGTCCGCGTTCTGAAGTCTTTACACTGGTTCCTCCTCACTGACCACTAAGAAAGTGGATCAGGTCCAGTGTTACTGAAGTCCTTTACACTGGTTCCCTCACTGACACTAAGAAAGTGGATCAGCTCCGGTGTCTGAAGTCTTTACACCTGGTTCCTCACTGACACACTCATGAACATGGGATCAGTCCTAGTTCTGAAGTCTTTACACTGGTTCCTCACTAACACTCTAGAAAGTGGATCAGTCCAGTTCTGAAGTCTTTTACACTGGTTCCTCACTAACACTAAGAAAGTGGATCAGTCCGGTTCTGAAGTCTTTACACTGGTTCCTCACTAACACTAAGAAAGTGGATCAGTCCGGTTCTGAAGTCTTTACACTGGTTCCTCACTGACACTAAGAAAGTGGATCAGTCCAGTTCTGAAGTATTTACACTGGTTCCTCACTGACACTAAGAGAGTGGATCACATCAGTCCTGTTCTGAAGTCTTTACACTGGTTCCTCACTGACACTAAGAGAGTGGATCACATCAGTCCTGTTCTGAAGTCTTTACACTGGTTCCTCACTGACACTAAGAAAGTGGATCAGTCCGGTTCTGAAGTCTTTACACTGGTTCCTCACTGAACACTAAGAAAAGTGGATCAGTCCTGGTTCTGAAGTCTTTACACTGGTTCCTCACTACCTAAGAAAGTGGATCAGTCCATGTTCTGAAGTCTTTACACTGGTTCCTCACTGAACACTAAGGAAAGTGGATCAGTCCTGTTCTGAAGTCTTTACACTGGTTCCTCACTAACACTAAGAAAGTGGATCAGTCCGGTTCTGAAGTCTTTACACTGGTTCCTCACTGACACTAAGAAAGTGGATCAGTCCAGTTCTGAAGTATTTACACTGGTTCCTCACTGACACTAAGAGAGTGGATCACATCAGTCCGGTTCTGAAGTATTTACACTGGTTCCTCACTGACACTAAGAGAGTGGATCACATCAGTCCTGTTCTGAAGTCTTTACACTGGTTCCTCACTGACACTAAGAAAGTGGATCAGTCCAGTTCTGAAGTCTTTACACTGGTTCCTCACTGACACTAAGAAAGTGGATCAGTCCGGTTCTGAAGTCTTTACACTGGTTCCTCACTGACACTAAGAAAGTGGATCAGTCCAGTTCTGAAGTCTTTACACTGGTTCCTCACTGACACTAAGAAAGTGGATCAGTCCTGTTCTGAAGTCTTTACACTGGTTCCTCACTAACACTAAGAAAGTGGATCAGTCCTGTTCTGAAGTCTTTACACTGGTTTCCTCACTAACACTAAGAAAGTGGATCAGTCCTGTTCTGAAGTCTTTACACTGGTTCCTCACTGACACTAAGAGAGTGGATCACATCAGTCCGGTTCTGAAGTCTTTACACTGGTTCCTCTCTGACACTAAGAGAGTGGATCACATCAGTCGTTTTTGGTTGATGAACATGTGGGGCTAGTAACCCAGGGGATCAGTGTCTGGGGACTTTGTCCTGGCTGGTGTTCTCTGCGTACACAGCTCATGTTCGGAGAAACCTTATAGAAAGGCATCAGTAAAGTGGAACCTCTGTGTGAACTATTCACATCTTAAACTGCACTGTGACTTTTCATTCATGTACTTTTTATTTTAATGTTTCTTTTATCTTTTCTTTTGAATGACTGTTTTTAATTGCCTTCATCTGAATGTCTTTCATTTCTGTAAAGCACCTTGAATTGCCTTGTGTTGAAAGGTGCTATATCAATACACTTGCCTTGCCTTGCCTTACTTTAAGGAGCATCTTTCAGCCCCTGAACGCATCACCTCTGATTGGAGGAATAGCTCTGATGCTAACTGATACTGATGCGTTGGAATAGTTTCAGAATCTGGAGTCAGTTTGATATCAAAGTGAAGTTTGATATCAAAGTGAAGATCTCAGGAGCTTCAGATCGCCTTCTGACTCTGAGTAAACAAAGAGAGATGTGTGTGTGGCACCTTGAGCTCCGGCATGCTGACGATGAGCGTCGGGGGGACTCTGATGTCGGGGCTGTTGGTGAAATCCAGAGGGACTAAGTGTGGAGCCAGCTCACGGTATCTGCCGTGTAATCTGCAGAAGAAGAAGAGCGTCAGGTGACACTAAGCATTATGGGATGGCACTCGTTACTCAGGTTTTAAAAAGAGAGGTCATAAAGGTGAGCCTTCGTCACGGTGATGGAGTCAGAAACCTTTTCCATTAACGATGAATCAGGACTGATGAGGATCTTTGTTCCACAGTGATGTCACCACGCTTCAATCAGTTCACATCTGTGTAACATCTATATCTATATATATATCTATAGCCGACCTCCGGACAGGAAGTGGATCCACCAATCAGCTGGTTGGGATCATGTGACCTGTGATGATTTATTATTATTATTAGAGGATGAACTCACCGCAGGATCTCCTTCCTGGTGAAGAAGGTGCAGTCCTGTAAACAAACAGACACAGAATCAGCCAATCACTGAGCTGCATCTGATACTATAATACAGCTCAGCCAATCACAGAGCTCCTATCAGCTCCTCTTCATCTGAATTAGTGTGCAGGATGTCCAGATGCTCGTTAAGCTGCTGTTGCATCATCTTCATGTATTTATATTATTATATATTCATATATTTATATATTTATATTATTATATATTCATATCTTTATATATTTATATTATTATATATTAATATCTTTATATATTTATATTATTATATATTCATATCTTTATATATTGTAGCACCTGAAACGCCTCCAGCTGCTCGTCGGTGAAGGTTGTCTGTTTGTTTCCCATCGTGTTCGTCTGCCTCTCCCATCACAGAGCTGCATCACACTGATCCTCCTCCTCTTCCTCCTCTTCCTCCTCTTCCTCCTCGTCCTCCTCTTCCTCCTCCTCCTCTTCCTCCTCTTCCTCCTCAGATCTCTCTGCTGCTCTTCATCCTCTCTCCTCGATGTGTTTTCAGCTGATGGACGGAGGCTGTTTTACGGCTCTGGGTGCAGGGAGACAGCGTGATGCGTTCAGGGGCTGCTGGGGGAAATGGCTTTCACAGAGGGAGGTGCAGCATGTGGAATCTGTGTTAACCCTTGGGCTTCTAGATTTATTTTAAATCTTTTTCGTTATTTCATATATTTCCGTTATTCCTTAGATTTTTGTTATTTCATATTTTTTGGGACAAAAGTTAAAAAAACTTGGATACAGGAAAGCAGAAGAGGAGTCGCTCTGAACATAGATCTCTGGAGACAGACTCCTCCTCTAGAGAGAGGATATCGATCAGAGTGACTCCTCTCCTCTTCAGAGGATCTTTGGTGAGTTGGCTAGAGGATATCAATCAGAGTGACTCCTCTCCTCTTCAGAGGTAACTTGGATAGGATCTTTGGTGAGTTGGCTAGAGGATATCAATCAGAGTGACTCCTCCCCTCTTCAGAGGATCTTTGGTGAGTTGGCTAGAGGATATCAATCAGAGTGACTCCTGTCCTCTTCAGAGGATCTTTGGTGAGTTGGCTAGAGGATATCAATCAGAGTGACTCCTCTCCTCTTCAGAGGATCTTTGGGTGAGTTGGCTAAGGAAAGAGCATATCAAATCAGAGTGACTCCTCCCCTCTTCAGAGGATCTTTGGTGAGTTGGCTAGAGGATATCAATCAGAGTGACTCCTCTCCTCTTCAGAGGATCTTTGGTGAGTTGGCTAGAGGATATCAATCAGAGTGACTCCTCTCCTCTTCAGAGGATCTTTGGTGAGTTGGCTAGAGGATATCAATCAGAGTGACTCCTCTCCTCTTCAGAGGATCTTTGGTGAGTTGGCTAGAGGATATCAATCAGAGTGACTCCTCTCCTCTTCAGAGGATCTTTGGTGAGTTGGCTAGAGGATATCAATCAGAGTGACTCCTCTCCTCTTCAGAGGATCTTTGGTGAGTTGGCTAGAGGATATCAATCAGAGTGACTCCTCACCTCTTCAGAGGATCTTTGTTTTCGTTTCTAAATCTAAAAACAACAATAGCCTATAAGAACTTATTTAAACCACAGTTTCAATTATCTCAAGCTTATTTTCATTCGTTGTAGTATTTAGATAGTATGATTTATTTTTTAATGAATGTTATTCAATCAAGCCTCAAACTGAGTTGGTTAGAGGATATCAATCAGAGAGACTCCTCACCTCTTCAGAGGATCTTTGGTGAGTTGGTTAGAGGATATTGATCAGAGTGACTCCTCGTCTCTTCAGAGGATCTTTGGTGAGTTGGCTAGAGGATATTGATCAGAGTGACTCCTCGTCTCTTCAGAGGATCTTTGGTGAGTTGGCTAGAGGATATTGATCAGAGTGACTCCTCGTCTCTTCAGAGGATCTTTGGTGAGTTGGCTAGAGGATATCGATCAGAGTGACTCCTCGTCTCTTCAGAGGATCTTTGGTGAGTTGGCTAGAGGATATTGATCAGAGTGACTCCTCGTCTCTTCAGAGGATCTTTGGTGAGTTGGCTAGAGGATATTGATCAGAGTGACTCCTCGTCTCTTCAGAGGATCTTTGGTGAGTTGGCTAGAGGATATCGATCAGAGTGACTCCTCGTCTCTTCAGAGGATCTTTGGTGAGTTGGCTAGAGGATATTGATCAGAGTGACTCCTCTCCTCTTCAGAGGATCTTTGGTGAGTTGGCTAGAGGATATCGATCAGAGTGACTCCTCGTCTCTTCAGAGGATCGTTGCTTCATCAGAATGGCAGGAAACGCATGGAGGTCAATGGTGAGTAAAAGCAGTTTTTAAAGCTTTAACTAACATGTTATAAACGTGTGAAACACACAGAGGAGTGTGTGTGAGGAGTGTGTGTGTGTTGGCTCTGCTGAGAGTCTCTAACTGCGTTTATTAGCATGTTAGCATCTCTTAGCTCAGTGTGTGTCCTTCAGACAGCAGCTGATGCTAACGGAGCTAACAGAGGCTAACTGAGGATATGTTCACCCTGAAAACATATTTCATTTAAAAGAACCAGTAAAGCAGTCCGTAAAGAACCAGTAAAGCAGTCAGTAAAGAACCAGTAAATAACCAGTAAAGCAGTCAGTAAAGAACCAGTAAAGAACCAGTAACGCAGTGACAGAGAGGGTTATACAACCGGCTGATACAAGTGATACAACAGAACAGATAACTCTGTTGGTTCAGAGCTGATGCTAACGGGTTATAATGGGATTACATGAACTGTGACTGGTTCTCTGACTGGTTCTCTGACTGGTTCTGGTCCTCAGTTCTCAGTTAACAGAACCTGAATAAAGAACTGTTCTCTGACCCAGGACCAGGGGTACATAGCTGATGGTTTGAGGTCACCTTGCTGGGAGAGAACCAGAGAAACAGGACAAGTTCAAATAAAGATTCCTCTGAGTCTTTCTGCTCCAAAGTGTGTGTGTGTGTGTGTTGT